ATACTTGAGTTCACTCGGGTCTTAGCCTCGCTCACTCGATTTTGAACTGGCTCGGGTCATAGCCTCACCAATTCGATTTGTATGATCGAACTCTCACGAATCCTAACACACGGTTTGAACAAACGTTCTTTTCTATTCAACTCATCAATTCTGCACACTTAAAACAATGAGGGATTGTCCCTATTTATAGATCCTAACTATGACTAATTCTAATCTACCTAGGAAACTTATTAAAGCAATAAAATATTAATTTCCTAAACAATCTAGATATTATTGTGCAAGAAGGAAACTAAATATACTAGAGTCCTAATTAACTTGATTGTCTTGATCTTGCTTGGCTTGCACTCCAAACAATTCCAAATTCACGCCCAAATACTTCGACCGATTTAATCGTACGCACGACAACCCTAGCCGCCTTCGCGCGCGCCGACTCCCGTTGCCTAATCCTTGTCGCGCGCGGCTTCGCGCGCGCGCCTTCCACGCGTCATCTGCCGCCTCTACTTCTCCTAGTCCCGCACGGCTTGGGTCATCAGCATTGTACGCACGCGCCATTGCGCGCTCCTCGCGTCCGCCGACTTCCTCCCGCGCGTGTGCGCCCGACACTCTTAAGCCTGCGAGGCTTAGGCCTCTGTCCGCGTCTGCACTCCACTCGCGCGCTAATGTGCGCGCCCCTCCATCACCGTCCAGGCCCCGCGCGTCCCGGCTACCGCCCGCGCCCCAATCACCTACAGCACACCCCACCGCGACCGCTGCTTCGCGCGTCGCATCCATCGCCCGGGGACTCCAATCACCTCCTGCGCATCCTCGCGCACCCGCTACGTCGCGCGTACCGTCCACACTCGCGGACTGCTCGTCCGTGCACCTATCGCGCCATGCACCTCTAACATTGAACGCCAGCGTGTCCCAGTCGACGTCCGTGGTTTGCTCGCCCATCGTGCACCTTCGTGTATCCTGCTCCGTCCAACCGCGCGCATCATGGGTCGATGCGCGGCATTCGCCTATTAGCCGATCATAGTTGTCCTCTTTGTTACCGCTCGTTTCCGTCGGCTCGGGCCATGGGTCCCAACCTTTCAACTTAACGCAATCTACCGCCGGTATCCACCACCCATCTTCAACCCATCGCAAACCACGCCTTCTAGCCTCCTTCTTCCTTGCTCGCATTTTTCTTTTGCAAGGCTTGCACCAACAACATGATTCCTTAGCCTTTGCCTTACGTTACCTTCTGGCTCGTTTGGTCTTGCGCTTCTTAAGCTTTAGCTTGGACTGCGGACCACATCCTTTTGGCCACCCTTTTGCATGAAGTTCGATATATCAGGCTTGACGGCTCCTCTAGCATGTTTCCCAACCATATGTTGAGATCGTCGCCATCCTCATCTTCGAACCTGCCTGGGTTGATGACCACTTTCGTATCATTCCCCTCCTCTTCAAGACAATCCTTGTCCTCAAGGATTAGAAAATTTAGCGCACCGTCATTTTCACTGTTTTGGACTTCACCCTCTCTTTCTCCTCGGGCCTCTACGAGTTGACGCTCGTATTCTTTCTAGATTTCTTCGCTCATGGAGTTCGTCTAGATACGTGCTTTCCCATGGGTGAGTTCTCTTTCCAAACATTCCAATAATTCGAGATCTTCCCAATCCATCTAGTCCATTGGCACATAAGACATATTTTTTTTTTAAACTAAAATAATTTCGAAAAAGAAGAAGAAAAGTTCGAAAGAAATCGAACCAAAGGGAGGAAAAAATAACAAAAGACTAGATGACACTTTTTTTTTTATACTCACGAAATTTTTCAAAAATTAAGGGGTAAAATTCGAATAAATTCGAACAAAAAGAAACAAAAAAATTGGACCAAAAGAAAAAGAATGGGATAGGAAA